AATACCGAACCATGAATTCCTTCTGGAAATACTATTCTGGTTTGGCGGTTGCTCCGTATCCCACAATCTTCGTCGGTGGTAACCACGAAGCTTCCAATTACCTATGGGAACTGTGAGTGAGTTCGGTTCTATGATAAGTGCTTTTGCTACAAGTTCTTATACTTAAAGCACTTAATTTAACTGTTTATCCAAATAAGGCCTAAGTGTTGATTTTTTTGTGGTTGTGCTATTTTAGGTATTATGGAGGATGGGCTGCACCTAACATATACTTTTTGGGAGCTGCTGGTGTGATTAAGTTTGGGAATATACGAATTGGGGGGATCTCTGGAATTTATAAGCATTTTGATTATAAATCAGGTTTGTTTATTAATTTTGTTTATTAATTTTGTTTATGAATTGCAGTTATTTGTTCATGTTGCTACCTTGTTAAACTAAGTGAAAATTGAGTATTGATTTTGAAAACATATAGTGAGGAATATGATGTTAGCTGTTTGTTGGAGCAGGACACTATGAGAGGCCTCCTTATGATAAAAATACCATTAAGTCTGTGTTTCATGTTCGAGAATATGATGTCCGTAAACTCATGCAAGTTGAGGAACCCGTTGATATTTTTCTCTCACATGATTGGCCGGTGAACATCACTGATCATGGGGATTGTGAGGGGCTTCTACGGAGGAAGCCTTTCTTCAGAGAAGAGGTAGGAATTACAATAATTTTTTCATGTTGATTTGTGAATGAAGTAATGATTGTTATACCAGGCATGACAGCTATTCATTTTTCTTGTACTTTTTGGTAGCATTTAGAAAACTAAGAAAATAGTAGGTATACTAGTCTCAGATTTCTTCTTTGTAAGAAATATGAATTTATAAAAGATAAATGGGAAGCCATGGCATGAATTTATATATATATTCTTTGAACAACGTATAGCACATTGTCTGTTTATCACAACAAATGTTTTTTTTGTCACGCTGATGAATTTTCCAGGTAGAGGGAAAAAGACTTGGGAGTAAAGCTGCTGCTCAACTTCTAGAAAAATTGAAACCGCAATTCTGGTTTTCGGCACACTTACACTGCAAGTTTGCTGCTCTTGTTCAGCACGGGGAAGGAGGTCCTGTGACAAAATTCCTAGCACTTGATAAATGTCTTCCTGGGCGTGATTTCTTACAGGTATAAGTGTACAACCATAACACAAAGGTAATCTTCTGTGGTAATTGTTTGTGTGAGTAACTATAATCGTGACGTGTTCTGTGCCTTTAGGTTGTTGAAATTGAATCAGAGGCAGGACCTTATGAGATTCAGTTTGATGAAGAATGGTTGGCAATAACACGATTGTTCAACAATGTATTCCCTTTGACTCCCAAAGGTGCAGATTTTCGGTGTGTGTGATTAAATATCATTTTGGATTTAAGTCTTCAAACATACTTTTCTTTTGTTGTCTTGTTTTTTCCTTTCTTCCACCAACAAGAAAAAATTATAAAAAATGTATGCACTTTTTGACAGAGGTGTAAATCTTGAGATGGAAGATTGTCGCAAATGGGTTAGAAGCAAGCTACAAGATTGGGGTTGTAAACCTTCTGAGTTTGTTAGAACAGTTCCATGTTATGATCCTTCTCAAGCCGGTGTTGAAGGTGCTTCTGCAGGTATGTCTTTGTTCCCATTACAATGTATGCATTGTAAGCTGGAAATTAAGATTTGTTTAGCTTGTTCTCTGATTACAAATATTCATGAAGTGTTTGGGCTAATTTCGAGTCCTAGCTGTGTAATCATACCCTTATCTTATGTGTTGTTTTCATGCATGTATGTTGTAGATGATTGCTATGATTAGGAAGGGTTGACTACGCGTCTTTCCATCTTTATCTTGTATATATGTTTGATTGAGGGCTCATTTGTTACTGGTGATAAAAAAAGGATTTTAGTATTCAATAATTTATACATTATTTTTTAGAGATTTTTAAGAAAAAACTATTTTTTGTTTCTTAACAACGATGACAATTATTTATAAAAAAAATCATGTTTGAAAAACGATTTTCAAGAGAAGCTACTCAAAACTGCTTATTTGATTTTTATTTTTTAAAGAATTACGACAAATGGGCCCTGAAAATGTATGATCTTTGTTTTAAATACAGAAATACTGTTGTGTCTTCTCCATTCATACCTTTTTCTAATTGATTTTTCTAACCTTTTTCTATAGTGCAGTTTTAGAATGTCGAAAGAAAAGAAGACCGAGTTATCATATTATTGCATACCTTTTTCTAAATGATTTTTCTAACCTTTTTCTATAGTATAGTTTTAGAATGTAGAAAGAAAAGAAGACTGAGTTATCTTATAAAGATTTTTTTCCATATTTTCATTATGCCATACTGCCATGTGTTATATTGCTTAAAACCTACTAGAAGTTTCAATTTTAAGATTCTTTTTAATCTATTGCAGTCAATCCTCGGAATCCTCAGACGGAATATCTTTTGCGACTTCTGGAACTTCCATATCTTCTTGATAGAAATCCTGAAGCAAAGGACATGTCACCTTATCCTTCTTTAATTCCAAGAGGTAAATTTTATCCTCTTTATTGGTCACGCAGGGGATGCCAATTCATTTTTGCATAAATGCAAGAGATAGAGAGAAGGTTGGAGAATAATAATACCTAGGGGCATATTTCTAAATCATTAACACATGACTTACTAGTTATCATTGTTTATCATTTTTATTTCCAATTCCTCTCTCGTTCTTTTAGTTTGCTCGCTTTTCATTTAATTCTGAATGTTTCAACTGTTTACACCTACATTTGCATTTGATGTGAAAAAGTTTAAGCGGGGTTATTTGATTTAGTTTGTGTGCAGTTGTAATTGCAAAATTGCAAAAGTTATGCTAGTAGCATGTATTGTACGTATATAGTTTGAGACTGTCTCCTTTTTCTTAATCAAATTACTTATGCATATGATTCTAGGTCCTGGTGGTGATTATAGCGAGGACATCCCCATTGATGACGTGGATGATGACGATGACGATGATGAGGGCCTCCCACCAGCTGAAGAGGTGGAAACTGAGACTTGAATTTTATTATGTTGTTGCAATTAACATGCTGGCTAGCTGGTTACACTATCTACTCAGGATGTACACAGGATTGTGGGTTTTTCATTTTCCGATTTGCAGTTCTGTTGCATGTATATTAATCAAACATTTGAAAAGGGGGGAAAGGAACTCTTGGGCCCTTAAAAAAGTTGGCTAGTTACAGCTTAGAATGCGGTTTTGGCTATCCCATTCAATATCTGTTGTCTAGTCTTTAGGACGTGCCTCTGGGGGAAAAATTGAATCCCATGGTTTTGCCAATTGCATTGAAACTGCTTAAATGAGCAGGATCGATATGGGTAAAGATCCTTCCCATTTTCTAAATTTTTTTGTAAAGTTCTGTTACTATAATTGTATGTATAAAGTCATTTAAATACTTAACATTATGTCACATGTCTTATAAATATTTGTTAATTAAACATTAAACTATAGTAATGGGGGAAAAGGAGATGAAAAAAATGGAGAGGATTTTGTCCCAGTCTATAGTTTCTCACAATTGTCTTTTGCTCTCACCAAAGCAATTGCTGAGTAAATTTGATCCGTATCTAGGGATTTGCTACAATTTTTGGCATTGGTTTTATTTGAGGTCTGCCCTTGTATCCAATCCAAAGATCAGATACCAGCTCAATGTGCCTTGGAAACACAGGAAATGACAAGAGTTGAAAGACAAGTTTTATTTTTAAGTAGAAAAATAAAATTAGAAAGAAGAAATAGATTAATTGGAAAGATTGTAAAATATACGAAGCCAACGCATAAATATTAGTCAAGCTGTCTGTTGCCCTAATAAATTAGGCCTTGGCATAGATTTTGAACTGGACCTTAGCCATCTAAATACCCCATTTTCCGAGATTTTAAGAATTAATTTTACTTGCTGAGCTATTTTTCCTTGCTTGAAAAAATCACAATAATAAATGTTTTGGTCTGGGTTTAGAAAGGGCTTAGAAATCTAGGCCTAAGAAGAAAAAAAAGCAAGTAACCAAACCTTGTCAATAGTGCTAGAGAATCTAAATAGAACAGAATAGCTACAACCGTTTTTAAGAGGATTGAATGGCATCCCACAATTTTATACTTGTCACGTCTCATCTTTTTGTATAGATCATCTAGCATCAAATTAGGTAACAAACTAGCATGCTACAAGTAAATTTCTTTTTTTGTGCTAATTCTCTTCCTATAATCTTCAAATTCACCAAACTAGGACTCTTCAAGTACACTTCATTCTCATTGCTGGTGAGCCAGGTATGGTCCTGGTTCATCATCCTTGTATGAAAAAGCTGGATTTGACTTTCATTATAAATTTATAACACATTTAATGCCATACTTCCCAAAAAAATAATTGAAACAAATTTAAATTTTGATTCCTTCACCAGTGTGTCATGACTCATATGATGTTATGTTACAACAAGACCCCATACTAAATACCAATCCAGTCCATTGGCCAAATCATACATTATTGTCCAGCTTGATTCCACTCTTCCCTTTTCAGTTTTCTGTCGGCGTTTATGATAAGAAAAAATTTAAGTCCTTTATCGATGAAAGTGTTAAATCAAAGTACATATTGTAACTGTAACCAAATGCCAATTCTCCAGCATTCCATTAATTCTAGTAACAGCATTTCTCAAAAACACGTGCCTGCAGTAATTGTTACTACCACTACAAGTCACCTATTGTAAAGAAAGAGTACTGTTGTCCTAATGGAACCTGAGAGGAAAATGTATATGACCAAACCTTCCTCTATGTAATTAATGACTTCACCAAACTACATAAATGTAGTTTTAAATAACGACAATTTTTTAAGTTACCATGGTACCACCTATATTTCTTGTATGATTATGTTTGTGTGTTTCACTATCTAGTCAAGAGTAGTAAAATATTCTGCCCACTGCCCTTCAGGCACTGCTTTGAACGCTCAAAAAAGTACTTAAACGTTTGGTTCTATGGAGACAAAAAAATCAATGTTTCTTTGCATACTAGTTTCTTTTATTTTTATCTGTTGTTGTTATGTTTCATCTGTTACGGCTGCTCTCTCTTTTGACTTTTATGCTGCTTCTTGTCCGAATGCTGAATTGATGATAAGAAATACAGTTAGTTCAGCTTCTTCTAATGATCCTTCTGTTCCGGGGAAGCTCCTTCGCTTGGTTTTCCATGATTGTTTTGTAGAGGTTAGTCATCAACACCAAATAGATTATTCTGTAAGATTGTTTGAGATAACTTATGAAAATAATTTCTTACATGTCCATAAATTGTTTTTCTGTTTATTTCCAATTTTCCATAAGCTTTGCATGATAGCTTATGAGGAATGTTTATACTATAAATGCCTAATTAAGCTGTTTATCCAGATGGAGCAACTTGATGTGAAATTCAAGTTGGTTTGGTCTTGGGATCTTTGTTATTTCCTCCCCATTAGTCCTTGTTCAGGCGCCCGGCCCTAAGTGTGGGGTGGTTTTGAGAGTTTCATATTGACTAGAGATATGACTTAGATAGTGCTTGTAAGGTTTGAGTAGTCCTAATCTTACAGGTTATTTTGTAGGAATAAGTCAGACTCTAAGTCAAAAGTTTAAGATTTGAAGTTCTGATGACCTTGGTTGGAGGTTGCATGCATTAGCGAGCTATTATGTAGCATCCATCGATAGTTTATATTGAATATGTGTCTGATGTCTTATACGTGTGAGTTTTGAACACCAATGCATTTTGATACACTATATGTGCTTGTAAGGTTTAGGCAGTCCTGATCTTACAAGTCATTCTGTAGGATTGAGTGAGACACTAAGCCGAAATTTTAAAATTTGAAGGTATGATGACATTGGAGGTTGCATGTAATAGCAAGCTATGTAACATCCATCAATACTTTATATTGAAGATGTGTCTGATGATGTCCTATACGTCTCAGTGTAGTGTTTGTGTCAAATATTTTCAATTTGATTGAAGCTTAAGATGGTCTATTTGATGCAATAAGACGATATTTGTTTGAAATGCAGGGATGTGATGCATCTTTGATGCTACAAGGGAACAATACAGAACAAAGTGATCCAGCAAACAGGTCTGTTGGAGGATTTTCTGTTATAGAATCAGCAAAAAGACTTCTCGAGATCTTCTGCCCTGGAACTGTTTCTTGTGCAGACATAATTGCTTTAGCAGCCAGAGACGCAGTCGAAATTGTAAGTTCACCATCGGAATTCTTATATAATCCTTCAATTCTACATTGACATTCTATTGACTGATAAGGCACTTTGCGAAACAGGCCGGAGGACCAAGGGTTCAGATTCCGACAGGTAGAAGAGATGGAATGGTTTCACTTGCTTCAAATGTTAGACCAAACATTATCGACACTAGTTTTACTATGGATGAGATGGTCAAGCTCTTTGCCAATAAAGGATTGTCCTTACTCGATCTCGTCATTCTTTCAGGTTCATCTCCTTCGTCTAAGTCCCAAAATAATCGCAAGTGTTTAACGATTTGCATTTTATCAAACTAGCGTTACATATTTCGTACTAATATTTAACCTTCGCAGGAGCTCATACAATAGGATCAGCTCATTGCAACACATTCAGGTCGCGGTTCCAACAAGACTCCAATGGAACTCTTAGGCTCATTGACCAAACCATTGACACTAATTATGCAGACGAGCTAATGAAACAGTGTCCGGTAACTGCACAACCATCCGTGACAGTGAACAATGATCCTGAAACATCTATGCTGTTTGACAACCAGTACTACAGAAATCTTCTAGCTCACAGAGTTCTGTTCCCGTCTGATTCGGTTTTGATGAGCAACGTTAACACGAAGAAAATGGTGGAGGATTTTGCAAATGATCAACAACTTTTCTTTGTCAATTGGGGCGCTGCGTTCGTGAAGCTAACTAGTGTTGGCGCTAAGACTGACGAGGATGGCGAAATTCGTAGTTCTTGTACAGCAACTAATGTATAAATGTGCATAACAAAGGTTATGGAAAAATATCCTTTGTTGTTTGTACATTATTTTGCTTGTCTTGTTTCTTTGTCAATTCTTTTTTGTCCTATCTTCTATTCATTGTGGCTGAATTTGAGAAATATGAAATCTTAAAACTTGATAATGATGCATGCTTTCTCTTAACAAAGATATTGATGACTCATATACATCTCTTGTAGATTAAGAATATTTTCTCTTACTCTCCTTCAAATGCTTATTTGTTCAAAGGTGGAAAAGAGTAAGGGTGAAGAAAAGATGACATATGAATTTACTAATTTGAGGTAGATCCAAAACTAAGATTGTGTGACTTGAAAGTAACAAATTTGAGGACATTATTTAGTAGGGTACTTCATAAAACCCGCAGAAGAAACCATAAAAAAAAAAGCTAAATAAGTAAATGCAAAACAAATTTTTAGTATCCTTGGTTTTTTAATTTATTAGCCTATTTAAATACTAGTTGAATTGCATATAAATTAATCCGATATTTTTATTTTTCAGAAAAAAGATTAACTCATATCATTAATAATAAAGTTATGAATACAGGTAGGAATATCACTGATAATATGAAAAGTAGTAAAAGATAGAGCCATCTTTATCAGAACATGAGCAACTTTATTAATTTTTTTCCTAGCGAATGTAACACGAGAGTTCGAAAACAGAAGGGTCAGAAGACAATTACATTCTCGAGTAATCGCACAATTAATTTTTGACATTTGAAAAAGGTTAGATTTAAACCTAAAAATAAACCTATTAATTTTTTAATTTATTATCCTATTTAAAAATTAATTGAATTTTTTAATTTATTAACCAATTTAAAAATTAATTGAATTGAATATAAATAAGCTAACAAATTAATCTCACATTAAAAAAAAAGTAAGATTCAAAATTTGAAACCTAAAAATGGTTAGAAGCAATTAGGGGATGAACACGAGAGAGCATTTAACTATCATATAATTTGATTCATGATACCATTGTTGATATCACTTTTAGAGGTAATTCGGGAGACTAACGCGAAAGAGAGTTTAACATTGGACATAAAACAACACACAATTGAGAGACATTATATATTCACTTAAAATTTTAAGGTGATAGATGTGTAGATTCTCTCACTTATAAAGTATTCAATTTTTCATTTTTTAATTAATATAAGATTTCTTTCTCGAACTCGACTCTTAACAAACATTATTGGATGGTCTTTTTAAAAGACTCTATTTTCACTCCTACATATTATATACATAATTATTTTAACTTTAGATAAACTTTTATGATTTGACTAGTTTACAAATAGATTCTATAACTTTATTTATAATATAACTAAACGTCCAAACACAAAAATAGGTGAGAAAAATATAACTAAAGAGACAAAATAAGTGAGAAAAATATAAAGAATAAAAAATGAATCTGATTCGCCAAGTTGTTGTTTTCTTCGCCAACTTCTTGCTATTGGACTCTTCCATAAAGCTAGAATAATTGACAACTGAGAAATGTTATTTTACACAAACACTGCCAATTTTATATACAATTCACACTCATATATATATATATATATATATATATATATGATATCGGAAGGCAATATCAATTCTTATGTCTAAATAACAGCTCAAAATGACTGTATCGATTTTTATGTGTCTAAATAACAATGATGGAAAATTATTATGCTCGGAATTGATCAAAGAGCAATATTTAAGTCCTGAAAAACAAGTGGAAATAATTAAAATAATAGCAATCGTTAGTCCATGATCCAAAAACACGTCCCTGTTTGATAGAACAACAACAAATCCACCTGTAACAAGAAAAAGAAAACAATCAAACCATTTTCTTAATTATACTATTTTGTATTGAAACCCATTGATCATTAGAAACCCAAATAATTAATTTTTTTCAAGCTGAAATTGTGATGCATGAATATTGAATACTACTCCATAAAGAGTAAGCAGCTCAGGTCAGAAGTCCTAGATCAAATTATGATGCTTTTATGCTACTTTTCTACTACCATTCAATTCAACCTAAAAGATTCACCACCCACCCAAAATGTCGACACATAACATCCACAGACCAAAAAAGAATGCCCATAATAATAATACAATATCTAAAATTCTAAATACACAGTACATCATCAAATTGTCATATTAGAAAAACAAAAAGTACAAGTAAATAATTTCAACAAAACTCAAATATTTATTTTATTACTTGTCTCCCTGTCAAGACAAAAAATAAAAATGATTTTTAATTTTCACTTTCACTTGAGTCAGAAGCACCATGATGATTGACCTTAGCAATCCCTATCCTTGGCGCATCAAGGATAACACAAGCAGAAGACATTTCCATTTGACAAACCCTAACAGCTCCGATCAACTTCTCCGGCAACTCCTCCTCCGTCTGCGCCTCCACAACAAACCCCATATCAATCGTCACACTCGTCACATATCCCAACGCAAGGCGCAAGATAGCATTCGCAATTGCGCTACTTCCGATATCAACGTCGATTTCGAAGTAGTTAGGTCCTCTATGATAATGACACGTCAGCGCTTTCCCTAACAAACACGCGCTGTAGTTACCTACAGCTTTTTTCACTATCCACGGTCCTTTTACGATCCGGTTCACAAGCTTGAACCGCTGGTTTCGAAAGGAGTCGTCTCCTTCGATGAACCGGCCGAGTAATGAACCGGACTGGACCGGATCTTCTGTAAAGTAGTAGAACACCGCGCTGTGGTGTTCCTTACCTGGAATCTGGAGATTCACGGCGAAGATGAAGCTCTTCAGCGATTTACCGTTGGATTGCGCTTTCTTGAGCGCGTTGGAGATTCGGTTATCGGAGCGGTTCAGCACGTTGTCGAGCTTCGTGGAGGATTTGAGCCAGTCCATGCCAGCGGGAGAGAGGAGATATTCACCGGCAGGAGATTTTTGTCGTTTTGTGAAGTAACTTTGAGAGCGGAGGTTGAAGACATCGCCGGGAGGTGAAGCCCAGCCGTTTGTTCCGGTGTTGAGATCGACGTGACGGAGAGATCCGCCGTTGATTGTTTCAGTTGTCCAGTGGGAAGAATCGGCGGTGGATCCTGAATCGGTGCCGGAGCTCCGGGAAGTGTTATCGGTTGGGTACATCAGTTTGGTTTGGGGATTTGGGGTTAGTTGTTGGGGTTTTGAAGAGTGAAAAAGTTCATTTAATTGTTGTGTTCACTGCATAGAGCGAAACACGCCTAAGAATTCAGTACTCTTCTTTATGGAGCTACAGAAATAGGATTAAAGAAGGAAAGAAGAAGGAAATGGAAATGGTCTTGCATTTCCTTCAAATTACGAAAACGCCACTATTAGATATTACTGTACCTACCCAATCCAGTTTAAGAAGGAAAATATTTGAGTAATAAATATTAATTTCATCATAATCACAAATATATTATCAGTGTGTTTTACTAAATTATTTTTAAAATGTATAAATATATAATGAAATTTTGTGTATCAATAATTTTCAAAAATTATTAGTCGTTTAAAAATAAAATTATGATTATTTTAGATTGGAGCAAATAATTCATGTCATCTTAGTTTTTAAAACTCTAAAATATAGGTCAAATTCAGTTTACTTTGAAATAATTAATTTAATTTCTGAAAAGTTAGATCACTGAACTTTATTTTGTGATAAATATGGATATTTATTCAAAATATTTTATATAGTAATTTTTTCTTGATCAAGTATAATAAATAAATATTGTAAAATATATATAATAAATAAATCAAATTATTACACCAAAAATGTAAAACATTTCTAAGAAAAGAGACGGTGTAATATATGAAATAAAACAATAAAATTATGTTTTATTTAATTTTTTAAGGTATTTTTACAAACATATTCTTAATTTTTTGAATAATATTTTAGATTATATTAAATAATTTGTAATATGGAAAGGTAAAGAAAAACCCGTTAATTTAGGGGTTCATGAAGGCGCTACAGAGAAAAGTAACGCGCTGGCAATCAGGCATTAATGTGTTTAGTTTGATTGGAGGCAGAGGCACTATGAATTCTGGGTGGGCATGTGCTTGTTAATTTGTCACGAATTTGAAACCATTAATTATTTACGCGTGTTGGTATATGCATGTATGTGATTTTGTATTATCGATTGACGGTCAACATAATTGATTTTAATAGAATTGAATATAGTAAAATTAATTTATATAAATATATTTATGTAAAATAAGTTAAATAATAAATTTTAATATAAAAATTACTCAAAATTAATTTTAAAGACATAAAGTACAAATTTTAATTTCAAATAAAATTAATTTTGAAAACAGAATTAATTTTATTTTTGATTATAATAATTATAATAATAAGTAAAAAATGTATTTCTTTATCAATATAACCCTTCAAACATAATAGTAAAGTCATGTGACTTGATAGTCAACATCATAAAAGATGAAAAATATTTGTCTAAATTCAATGAAGGGTGATCAAGATCAAATGATAAGATAAATAGTGATGTTTATAGATCTTAGGGAAGTAGTACATCCCTTTTAAAGCATCTATCATGCACTTAAAAAAAACTCTAAGCCATGTCATCAATCTAACATGTTAGAGTGTCATGATAATATATTAAAAGTGTAGTCTCTAATACATAAAAGCAAAGGGAATCTAAATAAATCAAAATTAAAGTTCTTAAATGCTATAGGCATTATCCAACATCAAACAACCTTAATGAGACATGGAGAAAAAGTCCATGAGGTGTGATACGGTGGTAGAACCGACTGTTATATTAGTTTTGCATTTGTGTTCACAAATGTTGCAGTAAGCAAGAGTCGCTACCGACTTTTCTTTTATCCAACAAAGGAAAGGGTGAAAAGAACAGGAAAAAAAACCTTTTGAGATTATTTATGAATAAGAGGGATAGATTATGAAAAGGAAAGGTGTTAGCACCCTTTCTATATATAGTTATCTACAGGCTTTTAGATGCTTAGCTCATTTGAAAAATACCTTGTGCTTTTTG